GAGACGGACAGCAGACATTGATCACATCAATTTAAAAATGGTTCACAGTGAATCTCTGACCTGACCTATTGAAATGTTGGAATTTCCTATCTCGATGTTTCATTCTGCTACGTCCGGAATCATTCCTTGCCAATTGTCATAAAGGAAAAACCATTGGAAATCCGGTGTCATATGAATTTTGCAGGGCTCCTGTGAATTTGGCCCATATTCAGATTCTAAGTGAACATTTATTTTTCTTCTTTCAAAGAAATATACACAGGCCTAATGAATACAAAGAATTTTAACAGCAATCATAACATAATGAAAAGTCCAGAAATTTTAATACTACCTTCTATTAAATAGGAAATGACAATAATAAGAATTTTTAAAAAATCAGAAGACATTTGATAAACTGAATAATTATGGTAAAGCCGGGAACTCAGCCAACGCGATTCTAAATCCGTTTTCAGAAAGAAGCTCTGGCAATATTGCGGTAATAATACCGTTACACTTACAGGCATAACCGATTTATACTTTCGGTAATATTGCCGTAATATAACGCCTTTCTGTATTAATGGTACCCACACGTTGAGAGAGCCATGGGTTAATCTTTTTAGTCATCACAAACTGAGGGCGTCCTTTATTGTTATTGTTTCTAGAAAATTGCGCTAAGACCTAAATAATATCATAATGGTAAGTATAGACCAGTGGTTCCCAACCCCTGGACACGTAAACGTTCTTCACGGACCCCCATGTCTAAATATACTCATCGTCCATATCCCAACAATTTTCTTTTTATGTATAGAGTATGACATTTCTAGGTGGCCGGAAATGGCACTGTCAGACTCAAAATTTGAAGGTTCTTTCATTCCCCATTCAACTTTTAATTTAGGTAAAAATTAGGGCTACTCATGTTTGATATTCCACCAAATGGATAGAAGATGATTCGCCAAATTACGACCTCTGGGATCTTGGTATTTGACATAAGCAGGGAAGGGAGGGGTGCAGGAATTAAATTTTACATAGGGGAATTAAGATTAAGGTAGGAAATTTTTATGTTTATGGCACTTCTAGACGGCGGAAATGACACTGTCAGACCCAAAATTTGAAAAAGAGAAAACATGGAAACAAGATGTAAATTACCTGAGGATTACCTATACTAAAATCTTTACATAAAAAATAAATAAAAACTAATTGAATAGATCAGATAACCAATAAAATATTAAAATTAAAATATAATACCATTTAAAACAAATACAGTGAATAAGTCATGATGGGTATTTCATTATTGTCAAGGCATGGTCACACTGTCGTAAGACAAGAAAAATAATGAAATAATGAACAATTTATTCTCTAATAATCAAGCGGACCCCCAATTTTTTCATGAACCCCCCTGCGGACCCCTTTGATTTGGCTGACCCCCAATTATTTTTCGCGGACCCCACTGGTCTAGACTTATAGTAATTTTCTGGATATATTTTCTCATAACATAGGCCCCTACTGCACCTACATGCTGCAACAACAAGTACATTTTTGAGAACAGATAATACGTAAATTTATATAGGAAGAAAATAACCCTATCTTATTTCGGAGATTTCAGATGAGCGGAGGACGTAATTAAAATAAATTTAAAAATATGATTTTTGAAAATGAAATATCCATTTTTCGTAGCGTGAAGGGTGGAAAAAAATAAAATTATATTTTTACTCGAAATCATCATTATTGGTGGTTAGAGGGTTCGCTAAAAAATGTAGTCTCGTTTAAGAAGTAATTATGTGACCTGTTTTCGTTTCTGACACACGACGGAACGCACAGTAACGGCAATATTGCAGTAATATTACTAGGTCTGAGTTAGAACGCTTCGTTAACCCAATATTGCGGCTGCGGTTAGCCCTGATCTATTCACACAACCGGGAAGATTCTCGCACTATAGTATGAAAGTGGCTTTAAGACGAACGCAACGCCAAGACGCGCGCGCAATAGATAGTTTTTATTGACGATTCGCTCCGACAATCAGTCATTTAGCGCTCACAGGGGGCGGAGTTGGATTCGTCGGCCGACGGTCGTACGCCGTCGTACGAGGCAGTGAGCTAGTGCCCGGCTTTGAGGACTGGGAAACCGGATAGAGGCTATGCTATGCATAACCAGTATCCATAGGATACGCATAGAGAAGTAGGGACGTAATACAAAAAAAAAAAACCCAATTCAAGGAGCAAAATAGACAGGGCGGATCCAGAATGTTTTCTTAACTAGGGATTGTAGGGAGGGGCATTGATTTTCTTTTTTTTTTTCTTATTTCAATACACGGCGCTGGTATTAAGGCCTACCGATTGCAACAAAAAATCGTACGTGGCAAAACGTGGGATATGTGCCCATATGCCCAACTCCTTTTGAATCCGCTCCCAGTAGATACTACACGTAAATGTGTATTTCAAATAGGAATACAAGAACTCGGAGGAAGACTACGATGTTCATGTTGCCCATAAGTATGAGCATTCAGGCCCGTAGGCAGGGGGGGGGGGGGGGCGGGGGGTGCGGACGCACCCCCCCCCCAAATTCCAAAAGGTCCACTTTTTAAAACCTATTATTTCACAAAATCGTTCTAATTATCACAAAATGCTATAGCATGCATTGCATTATATATTTGCCAGCACATCCAGCCGTTGATTTTAAATATGATATGGAATTTGTTGGAAATTTATCTTCTCCGGTGACTGCAGATTAATCTATAATATGAACAATGTTATCTGTAGGCCTGCAGATGTACAGGACATAATAATGTTACTTCTTCATGTCCCAAAACAGCCAATAAAAATTTAAATAAAATATTCACGAATTATGTGTTTGAGAAATCCATTATATAACACCCTCAAAATGCTACTTAGTCGGAGCCCGTCCTGGGGCTTTTCTCAAAAACACCTCCAGGTCTCTGCCCCTGGACCACCAAATTTCAAAAAGTCTACTTTTTAAAATCTATTATTTCATTAAAATCTTTCCTAATTATCGCGAAATGCTATAGGCCTGTATGCATTACATTTTTTTTGCCCGCTCTTTTTTAACCGTTGATTTTTAATAATGTGCTACGAAATCTGCTGGAATTTATCAGCTCCAGTGATTGAAGATTGATCCATGTCATCTGTAGACCTACAGATGTAAAGGACATAAAATGTTACAACTTCACAGTAGTGAATTAGGGGGTTTGGGGAAGAGCTCCCTGAAATTATAAAATCATATTGGTCCCGGCCCTGGACCCCACCCTCTATTTCTCCTGCTTTATGCCCCTAAACAATACCCAAAATGAATGAAAATTTATATAGAATATTACGAATTATAGGTTTCAGAAATCCATTATAAGGCCCTCAAAATGCTAATTTGTCGGAGCTTCCGCGGATTCGCCCCTCCCCCCGGGATCCCTAGGCGGTCGTCCATTCTAAGGTCCGCTTCGGTCGCAAAAACGCACCTCCCCATCGTACTTTTCATTGATGATTTATAAAAAGTTTAACAGTGTTAACGGCTATTTTGATTTATATATATATATATATATATATATATATGTATATATATATATATATATATATAAAAAAAGGTATAAGAGACAGCATTTAAGGTACGGTATGCCTCTGTTGATATTAATTGTCGTTGTATACACCTTTCAGAATGGGCACCGATTCATGAACGAGGCACGCGGCTGGTACTGTGGCAACGGCAACTGTATTGAGAGTTATAAGATATAATTGATTACTACTGTTGCATATCCTTTCAGATTGAGCACCGATTCGTTTAATACAGATAGTGTACAGTCACGCGGTTTGTATGGCCAGCGACAAAACATTATGGAGTGATAGAGCCTTTATTGTAACAAAGGAAAACATTCCAAAATATGACAATTATGAAAATAAAACAAATCGACAGTGGAGCACTACCTAATGCTTTGTCCACACTATCAATTTGTCTTGGATAAGAAACTGTTGTATGCCCAAATATAGTAATAATATGCCTATATATAGCCATGATGTGATGTCATCATGACCTTATTTAGGCATGTCTGGACAAGGCATTAAGTATTTTCCTCTATATACAGTGTGTGTATTTTAATCGATATACCGGTACCACTTGTTAGTTATTTACTATGTTCATTTTTAATATTAAAGTAATATCTACTATAATTCCCATAATTAGGATAAACATATTTATATTAATAAATTATATAGTTATATAACCTATTGTAATTCCAATTTCCATAAATCATTTTTTACTATTGTTCAAACTACTCTCCTATCAGGTAACAGTGATCCTGCTCCTACTAACTTATCTTTTTTAATACACTATTATAAGAAATGTCATGATTATTTATTTTGTGTTAGAAAGTAGGTCGAGTATCTTTTTTTACTATTGTTCAGAGTACTCTACCTATCTTATTTTACCACACTTTCCATCATATAATTATTTCTCCTGATAACAATTAAAGCAACTCAATGGAAGCGTCAGAACAAAACAACAGCTCTTTTCAGAACTACGGTATGCGTGTAATTCAAGCATTTAACAATGTTGCTTCGCAATGCAAAACTTCAAACAAAACACTCTCAGTAATTTACTTAAACCGATCTGAATTTGGGCCTGTAGTTTTATTTTGATTTTAAGAAACACATGCTCCATCGTATTATTGATTATTACCGCCATAGTCGTCATGATTATCATAATAGTCATTGTTCTCATCGTCATCGTTAGTTATAAGCATAGCCTAATCATAATGTTCTATTTTTATGAGTTTTTTCTTAGCGTCGTATTTAGTCGTATATATGTACGGCTTCATTTTCCATTTATTCTGGCTGACAATATCACAATAAGTAAACACCAATGGTTTATAAAGCATTTCGCAACGTATTCCAATATCCCGTAGTTTTTTCTCTAGTTCAAAAACAGCACTTCTATCTCTAAAATCATCGTTGTATACAAAAACAACATGAGTATTTGGATCATTCGGTTCGTTCACTAGCAATAAAGAAATCTTCGCTGCAACACCTAACTTTCCTTCTCGGTGAGCTCGGGCTATGCGTATCCAAGTAAGATCAGCGTGTAGACCATTTCGTCCAAAAATCATCCACTTTCCGCTAAATTCTTGATTAATGGAAAATTTACACGGATATTTTCTTTCAGAAGACTTTTCCATTCTTTGCATGCGTCAGTCAAACTAACAAAATCCTCATGAAATAGAAAGTCTCTTGGAGCCAAAACTATCCACCCAATATTCCATTTCTTCACGGTAAAAAAAAAAACAAAAAAAACAAAAAAAAAAAACATGTTATAATACATTTAACAAACAACATTATTTTTAAATAGTATGCATTCCTATATATGTATTATTTTCTGGTTCGTCTACAAAAGTAGAGCCTATTAATAAAGTTATCTTATAATATAATATTAAAATAATGTTTTGTGTTTTTGATAGGAGCAAACTGCTGTATTTTAAACTCCAGTACTTTGAATGATGAGTTAACAGTAATTGTTTGGCCAAAATTCGAGTGAAAAATTTTATGATAAATGGCACACGGAGTTAAAATAAACGAGTCTCCGGCCATCCCGAAAGGCTATAGGGGCTTACCTTTTCAAGTTAGATGGTACAACCTTTCTGAGAAATTCTTCAAAATCAAAGAAACTTTTCGTAAATTTCTTCTGGAGATGCATCAAATGATCTCTTTTGATGAGTTCGCCAGAATGGTCAGGAATCGAATCATCTAACGACGATGTAGTGTCTGAAAAGGTTCTTCCAGAAAATACTTCGTCGGCTTGAATTTTGTCAGTCAAATAATCAAAGAATCGGACAGCAGCGCTCTGCTCAAAGTCGGGATAGTCATTTTCCTCTCGTAAGCATAAAGGCATAACGTCAAGTGATGATCTTGTATAATGTTGGTAAATTACATATTCGGGCATGCTTAAAGTTCTTTTCCTGTGAGCCACTGGAAAAAAAAAGTAACAGTAATTTTATTGTTATAAATTATTGCGTTACTCTGGTTGGTTCAATGACTAGCCTCATTGTACACAGCAAATGCAGGGGCGGCGCCAGCGGGGGGTTCGATGGGCCAAAGGACCCCAGTTGGTGAACTCTTGTCCCCGACTTTGACCACCATGTCCGGGAATTTCCAACAATGTCTCGTTGAGGAAAAATCAAATCTTGAGCACGGAAAGTCCAAGTCAAGCACACATTTCAGGGATTAAAAACTATTAGTGCTATCAGTGCTACCGTATGTACGAGTTTTGTATACTATTGCGATCGTATGGGTTTCAGTGGTGGCGCCAGCTCTACCCCGACAGGGGAACCTCCGACAGGGGGTTGGTACCCCAATAGCGGACCCCCAATAGGGGGACTCTTAATTTGCATATTTTTCTATCAAATTATCCTTTTTCAATAAAGAATCCCATAATAAACACAAATGAATATTTAATTGTGAAAGTTCAGTACAATTGTAATCATTAGACAACAGTATCAATAATAAAAATAATAATAATTTGATGATGATGATGATGATGATGATCAAATATCAAATCAAATATACTTTGATATGAAGTAATAAAAAGATGCTACTTTACTTTCTGCAAGAAAAACTCACAGAGATTTAAGTCGTAGCCTCATTTTACACCTGAAAAAATGGCTGCTACCATTTGGAACTTACGGTCTAAATGATGCTGATGATGATAATGATGATGATGAGTGATAGTAATAATAATTTTTATAGGCCTACTAATAAGGATAAATGATAATAACATGTAGGCCTATGCCAAGAATAAAAACAAAAACTATATGAACTCCTTTCGAATCGGAGACGGCAATACAATGCATTTAGTGCCGTGCTTGATTCTGTGAAATATAATGAACAATATGTTATGTCGTTGAACGAGTATTACAGCAACTTCTTAAAATGTAGCTTTTAATATTATAATGATCTAATACAGGTAATTTAACCACACTCACACTCAATTAATGATATGTTGTAATAAAATCAGTTGTACATATCCGTCTGATACAAAACAATGTTGTAGTGAAAATAAATAATATGAAGTAACCAAGTTTTGCCATCGTTAGTATATATACTGTCTCTTATACACATCTAGATGTGTATAAGAGACAGGTATATACAGATTGTAAACGACACAAACTGAAAGACACAGTTTAATAATTCATTATACATCCTGATTTATAATTACATACATACATTATAAGGTGGCCTCCGTTGATATTGATTGTTGTTGTATACACCTTTCAGAATGGGCACCGGCTCATGAACGAGGCATGCGACTGGTATTGGGGCAACGGCAATTGTATTTTGAGTTATAAAGTAAAATTGATTATTGTGGTTGTACATCCTTTCAGAATGAGCACTGAATCGTTTAATAGTGTATGTCAGGTGGTTGGTATAAGCAATAGATTAAGGAAGTACGGAATGTAGTATTAACTCACTTTTATATTTACATTTTTTTTTTTTTTTTTTTTTTTTTTTGTATGGCGAAGTAATAATATAATATTAATGCTTGCGGTACACCACGTAGATAGTTGTTGTTGGTTGAGACAATTCACCTAAAGACGATTGAAGCAACTGAAAAATATTATGTTTTCCAAAAACCGTCGCCCTAATAATTCCATTTCTTTACGGTATTAAAAAGAAAAAAAGATATTATAATACAATTAACAAAAATATATTTGTATAGGTTTACACATTTATTATATTAAAATAATACATAATATATATCGGCATTATTTTCTGGTTCGTTTACAAAAGTAGAAACTACTTATAAAGTTATCTTAATTGTTTAATGTTTTGCGTAAATTTCCCTTTTTTGATAGGGAACAGTCAAATTGTAATTTCACTGCTCCCTGATATTATAAACTTCTGTACTTCGAATGATTCTGTAATATAATGAGTAAACTACGGGAACAGTGAATCCACTGTCCCTTGGTTAACTACAGTAATTGCTTGGACAGAATTCGAGTGAGAAGTATTTATGATAAATGGCATACGGATTTGAAAATGAAAGAGTCATCCCAATAGGCTAACCCTATCAAGTGAGATGGAACTAAATCACTGAGAAATTCTTCAAAATTAGATAATCTTTTCGTGAATTGCTTTTGGAGATGCATCCAATGGTCTCTCTTGATGATTTCAATAGAATGTCGAAAAATCGAATTACCTAACGAAGATGCAGTCTTCCAAAAAATAATTCGTCGGCTTTGATTTTGCCAGTCAAAAAAGAACCACTCTGCTAAAATTCTGGACAATCACTTTCCTCTTGTAAGCAAATAACGTCATCAGTAGTCTTATCCTTTCCCACGTCATGATTAACATAACCTTCAGTTACTTTTTCAGAAGATTGGAAATGACTGGTATTATTATTTAAGGGTGTGGATTCAGTGGCGTAACGATGGGGCCGGGAGACCTGTGTATTTCTGAAACTGGGGGCCCTTTTTGGGTCCGGTCACCAATTCCATCGTGGGATTTTATATGTGCATTGTTATTCTAAATGTAACGACGAATAAATGATATAATATGGATTCAGAAAAAGGCTAGGGAGGGACTTTCACAGTTGGAGAGTCTTACCACCTCAGACCCACCATAGTTGAAGCTGAGGTAAGAAAATTTATGAATATGGCACCTTTAAATGGCCGAAAATGGCACTCAGACATAAAATTGTGAATATAATCTTCTTTTTATCTCTGCAGTTAAACAAATATTTTGACAAATTTAGTGGGGCCCCGGGCCGGCAGCTCCCCGGGCCGGCAGCTCCCCACCCTCACTCTTTATTCCGCCACTGGATATAATATGATATGTCTTACAGTCGATTTCAGACACACATTATGCTGTTGCCCTTGTGGGACTGTCATAAAAAAATGTATTATTATGGCACGTCTAGAAGATGACTGGAAATGGCACTCACAGACTTAAAATTGTGAATATAATTTTCTTTTTATTTGCATTTTAATTTTTTTTTTGGACAAATTTGGTGGGGTCCCGGGCCGACGGGTGCCCCTCTCTTTAATCGTTATAATGTGATATATGCCCTACAGTCGATTTCAGAGACACATTATATCAACAAAGTACTTTTTGGTCAGGGTGCTAGATTGAGGAACCTAGGGGAGGGCCCCTTCGTTGCCCAGAATTCGGGGGCCCTGCGGACCGCCTCATGAGAGCGCATAGGCGTTACGCCACTGTGTGGAATCTGGAGTATCAAAGAATCCTTTAGTATACTCTGGATCGCTTTGAACCTGATTCATGTTAATATCTGCCGCACAATCTTTGCGCCGGATGCATGCGCTGGATGCAATGGAATTGATGAATCATTCTTCTCGCCGCCACGACCAAGTGACGATCTTGTATAATATATTGGTAAATTACATATTCTTCGTCGTACATGCTTAAAATTCTTTTCCTGTAATCTCTACTGAAAAACAAAATGTAACAGTCATTTTATTATAAATTATTATCTAGTTGGTAAATTTAATTATTTTAACTGCGAGACAAATGAATACGATTAGGCCTACACTGTATACAATGTACCGTTCTGTATACGATTACATTATATACTACACAACAATGCTACTACCACACCACCGCTGCCGCCGCCACTACCACTAATACCACTACCACTATCATGATTGATTTGTGAAGTGGGAAGTGTGTGGTGAGAAGTGGGAGGAGGGGTGTGTGGATAGAGAAAATGGGTGAGACTCGTGCTTTAAATTGTACCGGTACGCGTCAATAGCAGAAATCACATGAATCTAGGTTTGGCATTTGAGGAAAGTGGAAATTTGACTAACTGATAATTCCCATCGCCGTCGGATTAAGGGGAAAAGCTGGTTAAATCGCAATTTCGATTTTTCCTTTACTTAGGCATCAACATTGCCCAAATGCCAGCGTCATGGATTGCAGGTTAAAATAATTTCATATTCCCTTTTAATTTTTATTTCAAAAAATAATGCAAAGAATTGTATATTCAGCTCGACTGTCTCAGAAAAGGGGGATTTTATTTTATTTGAGGGGTACGACCACCTCTCAGATATTTGCCGACAGGAGGCCTGACAAGTCTGCTCGATGGTCCGTACCAAGGGATCCACCTGGTCCTCGACTCGGTGGTCAGGGTGCCAGCATAGAATCCCTTTTGTAATTTAACTGAAGAGATTTTATGGTGGTGTCACCGGGGAGAATTTGCCCTCCCGTCGTACAGGTCTGGACACCGACGCGACGGTTTGAAAAATAATAATCTGTCTATCCAAATAGAGTTAATTTGGTTGCCATTCCCTAATATTGTGGTCTAAAAGCACAATTGAATTTAGACCATACAAGGCCGTAAAAAGTCTCCCCGTGAACCCTACATGGTTGGTTTTGACCCATCCTTCAGACATGTCGGACCCCTTGTCGGCAAAAGTCTGGAGCCACCGCTGGATACCGGTCTGATGGGACATGTATTTCAACATGAGAGAGTCCAAAGGACGGTTGGGTTAAACATATGTTAAAGTAGTATAACGCCGTCTACACTGTAGGCCTAAATAATTTTACTGTACCTGCTTTTCGTGATCAAAGGATTATTTTTTTTGATTTGCGTTCGGATTCTGATCATTCAGATTCGTTTACAATACCATGTATGTCCGAACTTGAATGCTGGGAATTTTCCATATTGATTAACTCTTCCTGACCTCGTAGCCACATGGTGTTGGTGATAATAATAATAATAATAATAATAATAATAATAATAATAATAATAATAATATAAATAATGATAATAGTAATAATAATAATAATAATAATGATAACAAAATAACAACAGTCGAGTATATCTCCAAGGTTATGTGCTTTACTTATGCATCGTCAATTCCAATATAGCCTACATTCTTTGTCTTTTGTTTAGAGTATTCTCCTAAACGTTTTTAATTTCAACACTTATGTTATAATCTTAAATTTAACTTTCCATCATAGAATTATTCAACTCAATCGAAACGTCAGAAAAAACAATATAATTTTTAGCACTATCTACGTGGTGTACCGCAAGCGCTTCACATGTTTTGCAATGGAAATTTTAAAACAAATTCTCAGATATTTCTTGTCATAAAAATTAGGCTTTAACAAGCAAGTACATGCAAGGTTAAATATATTTTTACTGGGCGGTTCACACTTAAACCGATCTGAATATGGACCTTTAGTTTTGAATAGAGACACAGTATGCTCCTTAGTAGGCCTTTATCTTATTGATTATTACCGCCATAATTGTCATGATCATCATGTTTCTCCTCGTCGAAATCATTATCACCATCATCATTACAGTCATAAGCATAATCATAAGTCTTTACTATTGTGGATTGTTTTTTCTTAACGTCGTACGTACTCGTATATATATACGGCTTCATTCCCCATTCATTTCCGCTGTGAATATCGCAGTAACTAAACGCCATTGGTTTATAAAGCATTCTGCAACGTATTCCAATATCACGTAGATTTGACTCTATTTCAAAGACAGTTTTTTTATCTCTGAAATCATAGTTGTATACAAAAGCAACATGATAATACGGACAATCCTCCTCGTGTATTGACATTAAAGAAATCCTCGCTGCAACACCTAACTTCCCTTCTTGGTGAGCTCGAGCTATGCGAATCCAAGTAAGATCAGCATGTAAACCATTTGGTAGAAAAATCATCCACTTTCCTACAAAAACGCTATGTTTTTCAGCTAATTTCCGGACCAATGGGAAATTTACACGAATATTTTCTTCCATGAGTGTTTCCCATTCTGTAGATGCATCAGACATTCTAACGTGATCCTCTTCAATTAGAAAGTATTTTGGAGCCAATACTATCCACCCATAAATTCCATTTCTTTACGGTAAAAGAAACAACAATGTCACTTTAATACAATTAACAACCAGCGTAATATACACATTATATAACACATAGGCCTATATTGTATTATTTCCTGGTTCGTTTCCAAGTACAGTAAAGCGTATTGATAAAGTTATCTTCTTGATATAGGCCTACTGTAAGATTTTATAATGTTTTGCGCCTCAATTATCGAAAGGAACATTTTCTTTATAGAATTATGTTGTTAATGCTTGTAATATATTGCTGTACTTTGAATGATACAGTATTCTAATATACGGAAGTTAAAATCAACGAGTTTACGATGAATCCCAATAGGCTATGGGCTTACCTTTTCAACTTAGATGGTACTACCATCCTGAGAAATTCTTCAAAATCGGAGTAACTTTTCTTATATTCCTCAAGGAACTTCATCCCTGGGAACTGATTAATGTTTTTGCACTGGGTACATGGAGTTGATGAATCCTTTTCCTCGTTGCCATGACGACATACTGATTTTGTATAATATTGGTAAATTCCACATTTTATTTCGGACATTCTTGAAGAGCTATCCTGTAAGCTCTCTAAAAAAGAAAATAGCACTTTTATTCCGATTTGTTTTGATATACTGTAGGTTCAATAAGTAAGCACCTGTAAGTACACACCCGAGGTATCTTGTTGTAAACCATGAGAAAAATACATATGGTTAGACCTATTACTACAGGGGCGGATCCAGTGAGGGTTAGGGGACTAGCCCTCCAAACCCCCCAAAAAAAGGTAAGAGAAAAAAGGGGAAAGAATGTACGCCAAAGCAGCTAATTTTCGATTTAAATTCCATGTATTGTACCATGGTCAAACATTCATAGACAGAATATCTCAAACACCAATCCTCCTCCCTCCTCGATCGGTGCTTCGCACGTCGTATGGCCCCTTCCCAAATCCGTTCATGTATCTACTAGGCCTACTACCACCGTGCGGCGGTCCTTAACCTCATGGTCCTCGATCTAGCACCCTGACCCAAAAGGGCTTTGATACATAACAGCATAATTGTCTCTGACATCCACTGTATATCATATTATATCCAGTGGGAAATTAAAAGGGGGCCCCTAACTTTTTAAATTTTAAGTCTGTGAGTGCCATTTAGAGGTGCCGTAAAAATACACTTTCTTACCTACCCAACCATGGTGGGGCTGAGGTGGTATTGCCCTTTATCAGTGAAAGTCTCTTTCCCTGGGCCCTACTAAACATTCCTGAATTCGCCACTCAAATCGTATCATTTATTTTGTCGTTAAAAACATTTAGAATGCAATGACAAACTTTAGTCTTTAGTCTTGATAATCCCTTTGCAGCTGATACTCAGCTAAACTGGGATGAAACATAATTAAAAAATGAGTACACCTAAAATCCCACAATGGAATTTGTGACCGGGACTTAAAAGGCCCACTCTCAGAAAGCCACAGGGCTCCTGCCCCATCGTTAATTTGTTTGACTTGGAATCTCTGCGACACCTGCATGAGGAGGGCTATACCCGCAAATATGAAACTAGTAGTGACACTTCGCTTTGTTGCCATAAGTGAATTTTATTTGAAAAATGGTTTATATACGGGGAATTTTCGTTGATGGTCTATGCTTGATACGATTTACAAAATGTTCCTATTTGAGCATTGCTATTATTATTTATATAGGCCCCTATTAATGATGATGATGATGATAATAATAATAATAATAATAATAATAACAGGCCTAATAATAATAATAATAATGATATTTTTAATAATAATAGGCCTAATAATAATAACAACAAAAACAACAATAACAATAACAATAATAATAATAATAATAATAATAATAATAATAATAATAATAATAATAATAATAATAATCCATAGACGTAGCGTGTGAGAGGTCCTTCTGCTGCGACAAGACACGAGCCAAAATCAAACGATTTTGTGTTCACAGTGGTGACATGTCGTCGCAGCGCACCTATCGAACGCAAATCGCATGCGCAACGTGTAGGGAGACTGGCTTATTAAATCGGTTTCCATACAATCGCTCGCCCTATCGGCGAAAGTCGCCGACAGTTGTCGGGAAGGTTGAACCTGGTTTAAATTCGCCGACTGCGTTGCAGATGAATCGGGGTACCTTCCCGATTGCGTCGGGGCAGCTAGCAATGCATTCTGATGTGACAAAGTTGAACCAGGTTCAACATTTCGGACAGTTGTCAGCGACTGTCGCCTAGGGTAAGCGATTGTATGGAAACCGAGCTTAAGTTAGGTTAAGTCGAGTCGCAAGGGAGACATAAGCATAATTTAAACATGAGAGTCCAAGGTTCAATTAGGCCTATTATTTTATTTGTACCGTAATCTACTGTAGGGTTGGTTTCCCTGCTGTTTAGCATTCTTTCTCATTAGGGCAGGCTTAATTTTCTATCGAAAATTCATTAGGTCTGGACGTCCGTTAGATCTATTTATGGGTCTAGCTTGGCCTATGGTCAATTTCCGTATAGTACCGTATTTGTGTCTACTTCTGTATGTCAGTAATTACCAACATTTCTGTAGCAACTACGGACCTTCCGTAGAACTTGAGAACTCTGCATAATGTCTATAAGGCCTATTACAGCAAGAACTTCACCGTACTAACACAGCCCTAAGCTGAAGGAATGTAAAATTTTATTAGTAGGGGCCTAAACAATTGTATATACCTGCCTTTTGCGATCAGCCTTGTTTAGATCTGTGTTCGGATCACCGACACATAAACAGGTAACGTGTTTGATTTGCTAATAATATAATCAGCATTTACATAATATGTCTGCTGGCTGACCTTAAATGCTGGGAATTTCCCTTAGGCCTATGGGAAATTATGAGTTATCACTATGTAGTGATAACTCATCTTGACTTCGCGACCACTTTGTAAACACGCCCATTTATGGTAATTTTCACTGACATCTTACGAAAAATTAAGCTTCTGACATCAGTACCGTTCCCGTCAACGAAGGAATTTTGTTTCTCTAGCACTAATCCAACTCCAGCCAAATCTATATTGAGTCGACCTCAAATTTGCTAGGAAAATATCGGGCCCCCGGTTGTTTTAGCATTCATTCGTAACGGTAGAATGTAACCCACAATAAATTGTACCGTCAGCTTTTACATCTTAAAACGGGTCGTGAAAATCAACCATTTTTTAGACGGCCTATTTGCCTTATATTGAGGTAGTTTACTCAAATTATTACTGATTGAAAATCCTAATTTTATTGAAAACATATTAAAACAACTTCTAGAATTTACGTTTAAAACAGAGCTCGTTTCATTTTCAATACCGGTACCGTAAAACCTCGAATATAAGCCCTGGGCTTCTTTTTTGGCGAACTTTGGATGGGCTTCTTTTCGAGGCTACTTTTGGAAATTAAATTAAAGAGGGAGCTTCTTTTCAAAATAAATGCTGTAAATATTGAAAATTAATAAAACAATAAGTAGGGCCACTGTAGCATCAATCTGTATCATGGAGTGTATTAACCGCCGGCAGTGGCAGTCGGCGAGGAAACTATAACCTCCGGAATCACTGGGCCCCCAACTCCGACAATAATATGAGGGAATTTATTTATTTATTATAAATTCGCCATATTCATTATACAAAAACACATTTTTAAGTACAGAACAGGTTAGCGGCATGTCAGGATAGAAAAATGGGATAGAGCCCGACACCAAACTGAATTCCCTCTAAACCACTAAACTGTAAAAAAAAGACAATAAAAACAAGAATTAAAAAAAGATATTTTACATTTTATAATTTTTATTATAAGTTCAAAAACTCATAAATTTTCATATGAAAATAAATTGAAAAGATATAAGCTGCAGGCTACAATAAGGCAAAAGGCAATAGTTATTATAACAGTACCTTATTTAGAATCTGCAACTTACCCTTTTGGCAAGACAACAACGGGTTTGGTGAGGCAACAGCGACCAAATACAGTTATTATATTTGATCGTTGCTGTCTCGTCACTAAGATAAATAAAAGGAAAAAGCAGCCTTTGTTTCAAACGATCTAGAATGATACGAGTTTCTGAAACCCGAAGGAAGAGTGTTCCGAAGCCTTGCAGCATCCACGTATGTAGAATTTTCAAATGATTTATGCCCACACTAAATGTCCTCTGAGAAGCCATTATAGATACTGGATACCAACAAGAATCTGGATACACTCCTCCTAACTGCAAGTGGAAAAAGGTTATATTTAATATGGAAATGATGGACGATCATCTCTGTTGTCACCACTACCACTACGTATGTAAGCAATACGAGTGGCGGCCCTTTTGTATATTTTCAATATTTTTACAGATTTTTTTTTCGTACGGGCACCAAATAGAACAGAATCGGCCAAAAATTAAAGATTCAAACAAACAAATAAAAAAGTTAGGAAAAAGAACTTAGCCTAATTAGGGTTAATGTGAAATAAAGGTTTTGGCTGAGCCCATGAGATCGCAATAAATACTAAATCATATAACTGACACCGTATAGGTTGCACACGGTGACATTGGGTTTTTACAGGAGCGGATCCAGTAGTGGGCACGGGGACATGGCACACACGGGGTCACGTGCCCTCCCCCACACCGCTTTGCCACAAAATGTTAACATTTCAATGTATATCAATGTTATGTAATAAAATTAGCGCTATTCGCTTATCTATTCTGAAAATGTTGGAAAATTATGGATCCGTCCTGATTTATGACTCAATTAAAAAATGGAATGACTTTCAATGCTAACGAATTCAATGAGGGACAATTAAAAATATCATTTTCACCGACTTAGATCATTATGTTCAATGTAACTTTCTATTTTTGGCAGATTTTCTTTTATCCACTCTAACATGGATCAACAAATTTGTAAAATCCTTTCCTCCTTATAAAATGTATAAATATCCTTCGAAGAGGCGATGGTAAAAATGATGAATATCAGTCTAGGAATTAACAAAAAATTGATTTGAATTTCCATTTACTCAAAAACCAAAATTGCTTACTGTTTTTGAACGAAAACAATTGATGTAAAAGGAAATTCAAATCAAAAACCAAATGCAGTCCAAAATGTTTATCAATTGAAATTTAAACTCATATAATTATACAGTATATTGTAATTCTTAAATTGCATAAAACATTTTTTTAACTATTGTTCAGATTACTCTCCTACTTATCCTTTTTTAAATATACTTATTCATTACAATCACCAAGAAGAAATTTCTTGTCAATTTATATTGTGTAAAGAGTATGTTTTAACAGCCAAGCATATCTTCAAGATTTAACAAGCTTTATGATTACGCACAGTAATTCCTGTCTCTTATACACATCTAGATGTGTATAAGAGACAGTTATAACAGTACCTTATTTAGAATCTGCAACTTACCCTTTTGGCAAGACAACAACGGGTTTGGTGAGGCAACAGCGACCAAATACAGTTATTATATTTGATCGTTGCTGTCTCGTCACTAAGATAAATAAAAGGAAAAAGCAGCCTTTGTTTCAAACGATCTAGAATGATACGAGTTTCTGAAACCCGAAGGTTTTATTTCAAAAGGTCGTTTTTCCTTCTTTTTTCACTTGAAAAGCTCAGGTTTTCTTGCAAATATGTTTACAACAAAACCATATTTTTTTTTAAATATAGAGTATATTTGATTGTAGAAGCGGTTGGCGCATCGGTTGTGGCTTGGACTCGAGGTCGGGGGTTCGAAACTCTCGCTGTGCTAGGGTGATAAACTCATAATTCTTTTTTATGGGGCCTTATGTGTCCTGATTACAATGGAGGCATCTTGATCGAAACAGTACTTTTCAGAACTATCGGTGTACCGCAAGCACTTCAAAATTTGTACTTCACAACGCAAAACTTCTCAGTCGTTTATATATTGTCTTAAAAAGTAGGCTATAACAGCAAAGTACATCCACAAGTAAATTGTGTTTTTACTTGCAGATCCACACTTAAACCGATCTGAATAAGGCCTGTAGTTTTAAATACAAACAAAGTATGCTCCTTCGTAGGCCTACCGTACGTATCTTAGATTATAGATTATTACCGCCATAATAGTCATGGTCATCGTGTTTCCCTTCGTCATAATCATCATTATTACAGTCATAAGCACAATCATATGTTTTCACTATTGTGGATTGTGTTTTCTTAACGTCGTATGTACTCGTATATATGTACGGCTTCATTTTCCATATATTTTGGGTGAAAATATTGCAGAAAGTAAACACCAATGGTTTATAAAGCATTCTGCAACGTATTCCAATCATCCGTAGTTTTTTCTCTAGTTCAAAGACAGCCTTTCTATCTCTGAAATCATCGTTGTATACAAAAATAACATGATCCCCTGAATTCATTTTTTCGTCCACTGGCAATAAAGAAATCCTCGTGGCAACACCTAACTTCCCGTCTTCGTGAGCTCGAGCTATGCGAATCCAAGTAAGATCAGCATGTAAACCATTTTGTCGAAAAATCATCCACTTTCCAGAAAAAATATTATGTTTTTCGGCTAAATTCCGGATCAAAGGGAAATTCACAGGGACATTCTCTTCCAGGAGTCTTCCCCATTCTGTGTATGCTTCAGTCAGACTAACAAAATCCTCATAAAGTAGAAAGTCTCTTGGAGCCAAAACTATCCAACCAATAATTCCCTTTCTTTACGGTAAAAAATTAAAAAAATGTTATTATAATACAATTAAAACCAATATTTGTATAGGCCCACACATATGTATTATATTATAATAATACATACCTATAGTCTATTTGTATTATTTTTTTGGTTCCTTTACAAAAATAGAGTCTATTACTAAAGTTATTAATGAAAATATACAATTTGAGTAATGTTACTGAACTACTGAATTTATAAACTCCAGTTCTTTGATCGTTAATGTACAATTAATGAGTTAACTATAGTAATTGTTTGGGCAGAATGCGAGTGAAAAATATTAAGGATAAATGACAAAGTTAAAATTACTTTCCTATCATTTCATAGGTTATTACCTATTACTTATTATCTCATATGGGCTTACCTTTTCAAGTTAGATGGTACTAACTTCATGAGAAATTCTTCAAAATCGGAGAATCTTTTCGTGAATTTCTTTTGGAGAGGCATCAAATGGTTTCTCTTGATGAGTTCACTAGAAAGTCCAGGAATCGAATCATGTAATGACGATGCAGTATCTGAAAAGAGTCTTCCAGACCATACTTCGTCGGCTTGAATTTTGCCAGTCAAATAATCAATGAATCGGACAACAACACTCTGCTCGGTATCTGAAAAGAGTCTTCCAGAACATACTTTGTCGACTTGAATTTTACCAGTCGTATAATCAAAGAATCGGACAGCAACGCTCTGCTCAAAGTCGAGATAATCATTTTTCTCATGTAAGCATGCAGCCCTCACGTCATCAGTAGCCCTACCCTTTCCCACGTCATCATTAACATCATTTTCATTGTCAATGACTATATCACAAGACAATTCTTTAGAATAACTAGGCCCTGGACTGCATTGTACTTGATTCATGTTGACATTTCCAGCACAATCTTTGAGGCGGATGCTAAGTGATGAATCATTCTTCTCGCTGCCACGACCAAGTGACGATCTTGTATAATATTGGTAAATTATATATCCTTCGTCGGACATGCTTAAAGTTCTTTTCTGCCCTACTGTAAAAAATGTAAGAGTAATTCTATTATGAATTATTATTATTCTGGCTGGTTATAATTCAGTTATTGTAACCGCGAGAAAAATACATACGATTAGACTGTACCGGTATACTACATCACGGCCACTACCACTATACCACCAGGCCTACCACACTATAATAATTGATTTGTATTCTACACTTTCAAAACAGTGGCACACTTTACATGATAAAGGTTCGTCAAAAATGATGTACAGTATACAATACTACCACCATTGATGAATATGTTGTCGTTAAAGAATTCTTTCGTACCATCCGACGACCAAAATCACAGAGATTCAAAATTTAATGAAAATAATAACTGAAATAAATTTATCCAGGCTATATAATCATATTATTGATTTGCAGATTTAATCTTTATCTTATTATTTATATGTTTGGTGTGCATGTTAATTCTAGAAGACTTCGTTCCTGCCCCCCCCCCCTTTAATGTCCCATTTTGTAGAGTTGATGACTGTAAACGTAGTTTTATTTCTAGACTTTCTTTACAATATAATTCTCTTATTTTAACCACTAATATTGATCTTTTTCATAATAGTTTTCTATAATTCGTTTCAGTGGGAGACAGTAAAATTGATTACACGCCACCAGCTTGAAGCGGATGGCAGGCTCAGTTTAAGAATTTCTGGAATTGAGATAGATTATGTCACGCAATTGGCAAGGTCTTTGGGCTCATTGCTGGTACCTCATCAATGATTTTTCATTTATGCCATTGTGAAACGGCCCTAGAAAAAATGTCTTTGGAAAAAATGTGGACCTTCGTACGACCTTCCCGACCCCCACCCCTTGCATACACCCATGTGTCGGACCCCTTGTCGGCAAATGTCTGGAGCCACGGCTGAATACGGGTCTAATGGTGCACGTATTTCAAAATGACAGTCCAAAGGACGGTTATGTTGGGCTAAACATAGGTTAAAGTAATATAACCAGGGAACAGTGAATTTCACTGTTCCATGGTATAACGTAGGTCTATTACTGGCCTAAATAATTAACTCCTTTGTATCGTATGATATGCGTACGGTATATAAAATAGGCATACTATCCTAAACAGAAGGAAAACAATTATATTAGTATATTTTACTGTACCTGCTTTTCGTCATTAGAGGATTATTTCTTGTTTTAATATGTGCTCGGATCATCCAGATTCGTTTACAATATTATGTATTTACGACCTTGAATGCTGGGAATTTCCCATATTGATTAACTCATCCTGTATTGCAGGGGTGGCATAACCATCAGTCGGAGGGCCAAACTGAATATTTGTTTCACTTTAAAACAAAACAATTTAAGAAGAGATAGGTATTCTACTAAAGTAAAAGGTACCGGTAATTGTATTGAGGTAATAACTACAAAGGTATTATTGGTGTAAATTATTTTGAAAGGTTAATGTGCAACAAGTTAGACCTAAGTGATAATGTATGGAAATAAAATGAAAGTTCACATAAAACAATAAAAAAACAAAAGAAAAAAGATAATTGTATTTCACGTAAATGACTGTACAAATATTATTATCCATGTTTGCAATTATTATTTACAATTTTGTTTTTATAATAACAGAATCTTATTGTTTGTACATGGACTTAAACATAAAGTCGGGCCACCTAAGCAGAGGTCCGGGAATGCGCCAGGGTGGTGATGGATGGTGACCCCCAAAGTGTATTTGCATCTTATTCTGCCTATCTTCCCATCTATGTCAGGTATGTCATAAAATTAATATACATAAAAATAAATAAATAATTAAAATAAAATTAATTAATTCATTCAAAATAATAATACAGAAAAAAGGCTACATTACACTCTGCAGGTGGAAAATGGCGCCGCGAGCAGCTCTACCAAGAGATGGATACGTGCGCCTAATAAGATGACATTATTATTATTATTATTATTATTATTATTATTATTATTATTATTATTATTATTATTATTATTATTATTATTATTATTAAAGATAAAAATGATGATGAATAAAGGTGAGTTACCCCACAAAAGAGAGAAAAAAATCATCCTGTCCTTGAAGCAACCCCATACACGAATGGAGTCTAAGTATTAATAACTCCATTGTATAAACACGACCAGTTATGGTATAATAGACAGATTCCGCGACCGGGGACCAGTATAGTTAACGTGATAATAATAATAATGATGATAATAATAATAATAATAATAATAATAATAATAATAATAATAATAATAATAATATTAATATTAATAATAATAATAATAATAATAACAATAACATAAATAACATAATAATAATATAACATATAAATAATAATAGTAATAATAATAGTAATAAAAAATTTATATTAATAATAAAATATTAGCATCAACAATAATAACAACAAAACAACAACTGTCGAGTATTATCTCCAAGGTTAAACGTGCTTTACTTATACATCGTTATTTCCAATATACATTCTTTTTCTTTTGTTCAGAGTACTCTCCATACATACGTATCTTATTTTAATACACATATGTTATAATCTTAAATTCCACTTTCCATCATATTATAATTATTTCTCCTGATTACAACTAAAGCATATTAATCGAAACGTCGGAACAAAACAACAGTACTTTTTAAAACTATCTACGTGGTGTACCGCAAGCACTTCCAATGTTTACTTCTTCACAATGCAAAACTCCGTTATTTATGTTGTTTTACACAGTAGGCTGTTACTTGCAGGCTCACACTTCAACCGATCTTAAATAGGGCCTGTAGTCGGTCTACGTATCTTATTATTGATTATTACCGCCATCGTGTTTCCCTTCGTCATAATCATCATCATCATTCCAGTCATAAGCATAATCATAAGTTTTTACTATTGTGGATTGTGTAATCTTAACGTCGTATGTACTCATATATATGTACGGCTTCATTCCCCACTCATTTTTGCTGAGAATGTCACAGTAAGTAAACACCAATGGTTTATAAAGCATTCTGCAACGTATCCCAATATTCCGTAGTTTTGATTCTAGTTCAAAGACGGCCTTTCTATCTCTGAAATCATAGTTGTATACAAAAATAACATGATCAATTTGATTCATTTCTTCGTTCTCTGGTATTAAAGAAATCCTCGCTGCAACACCTAACTTCCCCTCTCGGTGAGCTCGAGCTATGCGAATCCAAGTAAGATCAGCATATAAACCACGTCGAAAAATCATCCACTTTCCAGAAAAAATATTATGTTTTGTGGCTAAATTCCGGATCAACGGGAAATTTACACAAGCATTCTCTTCCAGGAGTACTTCCCATTCTTTGTATGCGTCAGAAAAAGTAATGAACTCTTCATGAAATAGAACGTCTCCTGGAGCCAAAACTATCCACCCATGTCTTAATGGCATAAAAAAACAAAATGTTTTTATAATACAATTATCAACCAATATTTTATAGGCTACATATTATATCAACATAAACATCATGATTTGTTTACGAAAGTAGAACCAGAGCCTACAATTAAAGTTACAAGATTTAAATAATGTTTTGCGTTTTTGTTTGGAGCATGCTACTGTATTGTATTATAAACGCCAGTACTTGGAATGTTAATGCACAGCTAATGAGTTAACTACAGTAAATGTTTGGACAGAATTCGAGTGACAATTATTTGTAATAAATGACACACGAAGTTAAAATGACGAGTCATCCCGATAGGCTATGTGCTTACCTATTTAATTTAGATGGAACTACCTTCCTGAGAAATTCTTCAAAATCAGAAAAACTTTTCGTCAATTTCTTTTGGAGATGCATCAAATGGTCTCTCTTGATGAGTTCACTATAATGTCCAGGAATCGAATCATCTAAGGACGATGCAGTATCTGAAAGTCTTCCAGAAATTACTTCGTCGGCTTGAATTTTGCCAGCCAAATAATCAATAAATCGGACAACACTCTGCTCAGTATCTGAAAAGTGTCCTCCAGCACATGCTTCATCGACTTCAATTTTGCCAGCCAAATAGTCATAGAATCGGACAGCAACGCTCTGCTCAAAGTCGGGATAGTCACTTTCTTCTTGTGAGCATGCAGGCCTAACGTCATCAGTAGGCTTACTCTTTCCCACGTCATCATTAACATCATTTTCATTGTTGACTTCTTCAAAAGATGGTTCTTTAGAATAACTAGACTCTGGATCGCATTGAACCTGATTCATGTTGACATTTCCCTCGCAATCTTTGCGGCGGGCGCACGGAGTTGATAAATCATTCTTTTCGGCGCCAAGTGATGATTTTGTATAATATTGGTAAATTACATATTCTTTAACGGACATGCTTAATGTTCTTTTCCTGTAAGCGCTACTGAAAAACAAAATGTAACAGTAAATTTATTATAAATTATTATTGTTCTGGTTGGTTAACTCATTGATTTTAACCGCGAGAAAAATGCATACGATTATACTGTAGGCGTAGGCCTATACAATGTATACGATGGCATTATATACGGTACTACACAAAACTGCTACTACCACTACCACGGCTGCCGCCGCCACTACCACTATACCACTACCACTATAATAATAGGTCTAATTGATTTGTATACTACACTTTTGAAAAAGATGCACACTTTACATGATAAAGATTCGTCAAAAATAATGTTAACATGAAATTTACGATAGGCCTATACAATACTAATTTATACCATTGATGATAAAAAATCTTCAAAGCAATCATTCGTACCATCCGACAACCAAAATCAAAAATATTCAAAATTTAATGAAACATGACTGAAATAGATTTATGGTTATAGGCCTATAATAATAATATAATATTCTAATGACTCCAATTTAATCTTTATCTTCTTGTATTTTGTAGTGCTGTGCTACTGACGGCGGTATCGGATAATGACTTACAAAGGATGATACATGTTACAATATATGTTATTTTAATGGCCTAGTTAGCCTATTTGATATCCCCTCCAGCAGACAAGCCCCATCCTGACAAGCTTGTGCCACCATATTAATTTACCGATCCAAACAATTATTAACAGTTATCTTGAAAGAATAGGGGATACTCCCCCTACCATCCTGAATATAAAGTATAGAAAAAATGTCTGGAGTGGCTTTATTAATCTGAAGGCCGAGACTCGTGAGCAATTGTAGCACAACGAGCCAAATACCTTATTACTAGAATGTTATGCATCAATACTAAAATCACATCAGGCCGTATAGGATTAGCATTTCAGTGTGAGGAGTGCGCGGTATGATTTGACTAATAACTAACTGATAATTCCCGTTAGAGTAAGGGGAAGAGCTGGTTGAAACGCAGTTTCGACTTTTCATTTACTTACTACAATGCCGATATACCGGCATAGATTAGGCCTACAAGCTAAATGATTAAGATTCCCTTTTAATGTGTATTACAAAAATAATGCAACGAATTTTAAATTCAGTACATTCTCGGCTGTCAAAAAAGGGGATTTTAATTTTATTTGAGGGGTGCGTACCCCCACCCCTCACAAATTTGCTGACAGGGGCGAATATTTTGTCTACCAAGGGAGTGAGCCACCAGCTGTAGTGTCTCAACCAGACCAACATTCAAAAGGGTAGGCCTATATATCGTAGCCTGGTCTACACAGTAGGCCTAATTAATTAATTAATTTGTATTGTATAATAGTCATTTATTCTCATTAGGTTATATGCCAAAATGTATTGTCTCGCTCCAATACTTTAGTGGTAGGCCCACGATATGAATTTTTAAAAATTCCCTAGCGGGAACTCTCTGTACGATCTTATGCGTATACTGTACTGTAATTCTTCACGGCTCTGTCAAATATTGTATTATTGTAAACCCTTGCCGAGTTAATGCAATCAAATATTCTTTCATGTAAATATATAAAATATGCCTACTACAGTACCCCTAAACTGAAGGAAAGTAAAATCATTATATTAGTATACCGGTATTTTACCTGCTTTTTGCGATCAGAGGATTATTTCTTCTTTAGATTTGTGTTCGGATCATTTAGATTCATATCGTTTATGAGTCTGACCTTGAATGCTGAGAATTTCACATACTATATTTACATCTTGACCTCAGCCAGAGCGAGCTTGTATACAAAGAGCCTACTTCAATAACTACATGGTATAAACACGGCCAGTTATGGTATGGTATCATAATAATAGACGAATTCTACGACCGGGAACCAGTATTCACGTGATGATGATGATGATGATGATGATGATAATAATAATAATAATAATAATAATAATAATAATAATAATAATAATAATAATAATATTAACAATAACAATAATAATAATAGGTTAATAATAATATAAATAATGATAAAAACAATATATGAAAAAAGCAATAAAATATTAATAATAACAACAATAATAATAACAATACTAATAATAATGACAATCATAATTGATAAATGATAATGATGATGATGATAATAGTAATAAGATAGGCCTATATATACATACTATATTTACATCTTGACCTCAACCAGAGCGACCTTCTATACAAAGAGCCTACTTCAATAACTACATGGTATAAACACGGCCAGTTACGGTATGGTATCATAATAATAGACGAATTCTACGACCGGGAACCAGTATTCACGTGATGATGATGATGATAATAATAATAATAATAATAATAATAATAATAATAATAATAATAATAATAATATTAACAATAACAATAATAATAATAGGTTAATAATAATATAAATAATGATAAAAACAATATATTAAAAAAGCAATAAAATATTAATAATAACAACAATAATAATAACAATACTAATAATAATAACAATGATAATTGATAAATGATAATGATGATGATGATGATGATGATGATGATAATAATAATATTAACAATAACAATAATAATAATAGGTTAATAATAATATAAATAATGATAAAAACAATATATTAAAAAAGCAATAAAATATTAATAATAACAACAATAATAATAACAACAATACTAATAATAATGACAATGATAATTGATAAATGATAATGATGATGATGATGATGATGATAATAATAATATTAACAATAACAATAATAATAATAGGTTAATAATAATATAAATAATGATAAAAACATTATATTAAAAAAGCAATAAAATATTAATAATAACAACAATAATAATAACAACAATACTAATAATAATGACAATGATAATTGATAAATGATAATGATGATGATGATGATAATAATAATAAGATAGGCCTAAATAAAAATAATAATAATAAACATCTGAGTCTTTTATACAGAGCATAAAACAAGAAATTTGCCTCTAAGCGTTTTACATGAACAAACAGAAACATAACCATGAAATAGAAACATAACCATGAAACAGAAACATAACCATGAAATAGAAACATAACCATGAAACAGAAACATAACCATGAAATAGCCTAATACTACAAAAAAAAAAAAAACTAATACTAAAAAAAACAGCATGAAAGGCAGAAGAATCACTTTCACTGCTCCATCTCTGGCACATTTCCCATGCTCACTGGAACATCGTATCGGTACTCACCGGAGCTCTAGTTAAAATGACATTTAATAAATAAATAAATAAAAAAGACAGAAAAAAAAGAAAATTATATTCAAATGTTAAGTTTGAGAGTGCCATTTCATTCCATAATCATAAATTTTCTTGCCTCAGCCGCAACCATGTTGGGGCTGAGTTGAAGTAGACTTTCCATCTGTGAAAGTCTCTCCCTGGGCCCCCTCTATTTCAAATTCCTAGATCCTCCGCTGGATAGGACCACACTTGGTATAATTGCAATACCACTGGTTGGTCTTTTCCATGTTTTATATTTTAGTTAAGTTAGTAATCCATTGTAAATTTACTTTTTTTTTTAAATTTGCAAAGCATCATATTATTTTTGTCAGATTTCCTCCATTTATTCGGCATATTCATTATACAAAAAAAAAACCACAAGTACAGAACAGGTTAGCGGCATGCCAAAATGGAATAATGGGCTAAAGCCCGACACCAAAGTGAATTCTCTCTAAACCGCTAACCTGTCAAAAAAAACAATGAAAACAAGTTCAAAAATTCATATATAAAAATAAATTGAAAAGACCACCTGCAGACTACAATAAGGCAAAAGATAATAGTTATTCTACCTTATTTGCCATGGCAAGACAACAATAGGTTTGGTGAGGCAACAACTACCAAATACAGTTATTATATTTGATAGTTGCTGTCTCGTCACTCAGATAAAAAGAAAAAAAAAACAACCTTTATTTTAAACGATTTAGAATATGGGTTTCTGATGACCAAAGGAAAATGTTCCAAAGCCTTGCAACATCCACGTATGTAATTTTCAAATGATTCTGATGCGCACACAAAAATGGCCGAATGAGACGAGCTTGATTGTAGTTGTTTTAAAAAAAGGAACATTAATGTCCTCTGGGAAGCCTTTATAGAAACGGGACGCCAACACGACTCTGGATACACTCCTCCAAACTGCAAGTGGAAAAAGGTTAGGCCTATACATATTTAAATTTTCTGGAAATGATGGACGATGGTCATAGTTGCCACCACCACGTATGTAAGCAATACGAGTGGCGGCCCTTTGTATATTTTCAATATTTTTATAGAATTATTTTTTTCGTACGGACGCCAAATAGAACGAAATAAAAAAAGAGGCAAACTTTCAAGATTCAAACAAATAAATTAACAAGTTATGACCAAGAATGGGGAAACTTAGTCTTATTAGGGTTGATATAAAATAAAGGTTTTGGCTGAGCCCATGAGATATGCCGATTGTACTATAAGTGATAAAAATGCTGATCAGATATATTAGGTAGAATGAGGTGATGAGATCGCAATAAATGCTAAATCATAGCTTAAAGATATACTGACACCGTATCGGTTGCACCGAGTGACACTTTATGGTTATACAGGAACGGATCCAGTAGTGGGCACGGGGGACACGGCACACACGGGGTCACGTGCCCCACACCACCCTCAACCACTTTGCCGCAAAATTTCAATTTATATCAATGTTATGTATTGAAATTAGCGCTACTCCTTATCTATTCTGAAAATGTTGTGCCACTCCCACTCCCATCCCATCCAGTGGCGGCGTCAGCGGGGGAGGGGGCAGCAGGGGATTAATCCCCCACCGGACAGATCAAGCCCCCCCCCCCATCTGACAGAGCTCGTCGGGCAGGCGGACTAAAAAATATATAAAAATAGGCCCACGCCAAGCCAACACATGTCTGTCACAATCAGAGAGCATTTCTGTCCACACAGAGGTTCCTATTCTTAAAAAATTCTCATTTGGGAGGGGGAACACCCTCTCAATCCCTTCCCCCAGATAGGGCCTACGGTCCCAAGTCCCCCGTCGGACAGCTCAGCCCCCCCCAGAACATATATCCTAGAGCCGCCACTTCCCCCATCCCCCGCCCCAGCACCACCGTTTGGAAAATTATGGATCCGCCCCTGATTTATGACTTTATGAAAATGGAATGACTTTCAATGCAAGGTTTTTAAGTAAGGTAACGAATTCAATGAGGGACAATTAAAAATATCGTTTTCACCAATTTAGATTTATTTACTTTCTATTTTTGTCAGATTTTCCTTTATCCAATCTACCATGGATCAATAAGTTTATGAGCTCCTTGCCTCCTTTCAAAATGTATAAATATCCTTTAGAAAGGCGATGGTAAAAATGATGAATATCAATCTAGCAAATGCATAGCACAATTAACAAAACCTTGATTGTAATTTCCATTTACACATAACCAAAATTGCTTACTGTTTTTGAACGAAAACAATTCATGTAAAAGGAAACTAAAATCAAACACCAAATGAAGACCAAAATGTTTATCAATCGAAATCTAAACTCATATAATTATAATTACATATTGTAATTCCAATATGCATAAAACGTTTTTCTCGCACTTATCCTTTTGTTTTATCTGTTATAATCCACAAGAAGAATTTCTTGTTTACAGTATTTATATTGGGTAAAAATATGCTTTAACGTGCTTTGTGATTATGCACTGTAATTCCAATATACATTCGTTTTTTTTTTTTACTACTGTTCAGAATACTGTCCTTCATACATATCTTATTTAATACACTTACATACTATAATGTTAAATTTCACTTTTTATCATATAGGCCTAATTATGACTCCTGATTACAATGGAAGCATCTCAATCGAAACGTCAAAACAAAACAACAGTTCTTTTCAGAAGTATCTGTGTACCGCAAGCACTTCATATTGTTTATTCGCAATGCAAAACTTCAAACAAAAAAATTCTCAATTATTTATATTTTCTAAAAAGTACCGTAGGCTTTAACATACATCAACAAGGTTAAATGTGTTTTGACTGGCAGGTTCAAACTTAAACCAATTGTAGTTGAATAAAGACATGGTGTCTCCTTTGTAGGCCTATTATCTAATTATTGATTATTGCCGCCATAATCGTCATGATCATCGTGTTTCCCTTCGTCATAATCGTCATCATCACAGTCATAAGCACAATCATATGTTTGCACTATTGTGGATTGTGTTTTCTTAACGTCGTATGTACTCATATATATGTACGGTTTCATTTCCCATATATTTTGGCTGAAAATATTACAGAAAGTAAACACCAATGGTTTATAAAGCAATCTGCATCGTATTCCAATATCTCGTAGTTTTGACTCTAGTTCAACGACAGCCTTTCTATCTCTGAAATCATCGTTGTATACAAAAATAACATGAGTATTTAGATCGAATTGTTCGTCCACTGGAAATAAAGAAATCCTCGTGGCAACACCTAACTTCCCTTCTTCGTGAGCTCGAGCTATGCGAATCCAAGTAAGATCAGCATGTAAACCATTTTGTCGAAAAATCATCCACTTTCCAGAAAAAATATTATGTTTTCGGCTAAATTCCGGATCAAAGGGAAATTCACAGGGACATTCTCTTCCAGGAGTTTTTCCCATTCTGTGTATGCTTCAGTCAGACTAGCAAAATCCTCATAAAGTAGAAAGTCTCTTGGAGCCAAAACTATCCAACCAATAATTCCCTTTCTTCACGGTAAAAAAGAAAAAAAATGTTGTTATAATACAATTAAAACCAATATTTGTATAGGTCCACACATATGTATTATATTATAATACAGTAATACATACCTATAGCCTATTTGTATTATTTTTTTTTTTGGGTTCCTTTACAAAAATAGAGTCTATTACTAAAGTTATTAATGAAAATATACAATTTGAGTAATGTTACTGAACTACTGAATTTCTTTGATCGTTAATGTAAAGCTAATGAGTTAACTATAGTACCGTAATCGTTGGGGCAGAATGCGAGTGAAAAATATTAATGATAAATGACAAAGTTAAAATTACTCTCCGATCATCTCATAGGCTATTACCTATTACTTATTATCTCATATGGGCAGCCTTACCTTTTCAAGTTAGATGGTACTAACGTCATGAAAAATTCTTCAAAATCTGAGATTCTTTTCGTGAATTTCTTTTGGAGAAGCATCAAATGGTCTCTCTTGACGAGTTCACTAGAAAGTCCAGGAATCGAATCATGTAACGACGATGCAGTATCTGAAAAGAATCTTTCAGGACAAATTTCGTCGACTTGAATTTTGTCAGTCAAATAATCAATGAATCGGACAACAACACTCTGCTCATTATCTGAAAAAAGTCTTCCAGATATACTTCGTCGACTTGAATTTTACCAGTTAAATAATCAGAGAATCGGAAAGCAACGCTCTGCTCAAAGTCGAGATAATCATTTTTCTCATGTATGCATGCAGCCCTAATGTCATCAGCAGCCCCCTTTCCCACGTCATCATTAACACCATTTTCATTGTCAATGACTATTTCAGAAGACGGTCCTTTAGAATAACTAGGCTCTGGATTGTATTGGACCTGATTCATGTTGACATTTCCAGCGCAATCTTCGCGGCGGATGCTAAGTGATGAATCATTCTTCTCGCTTCCGCGACCAAGTGACGATCTTGTATAATATATATGCTTAAAATTAGTTTCCTGTAAGTACTACTATAAAACAAACAAACAAACAAACAAAGTCACTTTCATACGAATTATTATTATTCTCTTGGTTAGCTTTTAATGATTGAAACCGCGAGAAAAATATATACAGTTAGACTGTACCGGTACACTACTACATAACTGTTACTACTACCTCCACTGCCGCCGCCACTACCAATATCTCTACCACTACAACAATATACTGTACAGTATACTACACTTTCGTAACAGTTGATACATGATAAATATTCGTCAAAAATGATGTTAAAATGAAATTTACGATATACAATAGGCCTACTACGACTTTATACCATTGATGAAAATGTTTTCATTAAAGCAATTTTTCGACCATCTGACGACCAAAATCACAGATTCAAAATTTAATGAAAATCATAACTGAGTTAGATTTATGGCTATATTATCATTTTATTAACTTGCAGATTTAATCTTTATCTTATTATATTATTTTGTAATATTAACATGCTATGCTACTGCTAGCGGTAGGCCGGACAATGAGTTACAAAGGATGATAAATAACATGTTATAATACGTTATATTAATATAAGCCTAATTATTTTGATATCCCTTCCCACAGACAAGCCCCCTCCGGACAAGCTTGTGCCACCATGTTAATTTTTCCGATCCAAACAATGTTATTTTGAAAGAGTATACTTCTTCACACCCTGAATATACATGTAGTATACAAAAAATGTATCTAGGCCTATATTATAATCGTTTCCGTGTTCTTAAAACATCCCTTCAGTGACTAACTTAGAAATTCAGTTGTTGAACATTTTTCCGGAGTCGATTTATTAGGATGGCCGGGAATTGTGAGTAGGCCTAATTGCGGCACAACAAGCCAAACGCATTATTATTAGAATTTTATGCATCAATACTACACTACAATGCCGAAATAAATTACAGTAGTGGGCCTAAATGTTTTGTATTACAAAAATAACGCAACGAATTTTAAATTAAATACATTCTCGGCTGTGTCAGAAAAGGGAGAAATTCAGTACATTCTCGGCTGGGTCAGAAAAGGGGGATTTTAAATTTTATTTGAGGGGTGCGTACCTCCCACCCCTCACAAATTTGCCGACAGGGGAGAATCTTTTGTCTATCAAGGGAGTGCGCCACCAGCCACAGCGTTTCAGCCAGGCCAACATTCAAAGGGGTCTATATCGTAGCCTAGGTCTAGAAAAGGCTAAATAATTAAGTACTTTGTATTGTATATAGTAATTTATTCTCATTAGGTTATGACAAAATTGTTTCTCATGTATTGTCTCGCTCCAATAATTTAGGGGTTGGCCTACGGTCTGTATTATCTATATTCCCTAACAGGAACTCTCCCTGTACGATCGTATTCGTGTACTACCTCTACTGTAATTCTTCACTGCTCTGTCGAATTGTATTGTAATGATGGTAAACCCTTGCCGAGTTGGTGCAATCGATCCTTCATGTAAATATATAAAATAGGCCTACTACAGTACCACTAAACTGAAGAAATTAAAATTATTATATTAGTTTATTTTACCTGCTTTTCGCGATCAGAGGATTATTTCTCGTTTTGTGTTCGGATCATTCTGATTCAGGCCTTATTCATTTACGTGTCTGACCTTGGATGCTGGGAATTTCCCACACTTAGTGACCCATCTTGACCTCAGCCAGAGCGACCTCGTATACACAAGAGCCTAGTTTTAACTACAGCAGTACATGATATAAACATGTTATGGTATGGCAGTGGCGATATGGTAATTTTAGATGATTTTTAACTACAGTACTTGACCGTGATTTTTTTTGTGGGTGGGGGGGGGGGGAGAATTTTTTTAGGGGAAGTTCCCCCCACGCTAATATCAGCAATAACAATAATAATAATAAGCTGATAATAATATAAATATAATAATATTATTAATAATGTAAGTCTTTTTACAGAGCATAACACAAAGTTGCCTCTATGCGCTTCACATGAACAGAAACATAACCTTGAAATAGCCTAATACTACAAAGAAACTAATAAAAAAAAACGGCATAAAAGGCAGAAGAATCACTTTTACTGCTCCATCTCTGGCACTTTGAAGCCCCATTTTCCATGCTCGTTGGAACTGTACCGGTACTCGCAGGAGCTCTAGTTAACAATGACATTTAATAAATAAATAAAAAAGAGAGACAAAAAGAAAATTATGTTCAAAAGTTTGAGAGTGCAATTTCATTTCGTAATCATAAATTTTCTTGCCTCACCACCAACTATGATGGGGCTGAGGTAGAATAGACCCATCCATTGTGAAAGTTTCTCCCTGGACCCCCCTCCCCTCTATTAAAAAAATTCCTAGATCCTCCGCTGGATATAGGACCACACTTGGTATAAATATGCGATAGGCCTACTACTGGTTGGTCTTTTTCCATGTTTTATATTTAGTTAAGTTATTGTAAGTGTATTTTTTTCCAAATGTGCAAAGTATTATATTATTTTTGTCATATTTCCTCCGGGACTATTAAATTGTTCATCTAATCCTCTAGAATGTGTGAGCTCCCCCGCCCTAATCGGTCAATTCAAGCTATACCCCCTACGAAAATATGGCGTATACACTTAGCCTATTAAAAAACTAAAATTGACCAAAATTCGTCCAAATCCATAGCTTCCAAACAACTTCTTAATAGAAGACTAAATCAATATACTTTGAATCAAATTAGAAAGTATAATACATGATGATGACATAATTAATGTCGAAATATTGAATCTTAACACGATGGCGTGTATTTCAATACATGGAGTATGTATTATACTTTCTTATCTAAGATTAATCAGTGGACCTGTCGGTTTTTGAATCAAATTACTATGGTAGAAACAAAGCTTATTGGATATCATCATAATGCTGATTTCGGACCGTACAACATCGATAATCAGTCGGTGTTTTGAACATGGTAATTTATTTTACCATTTCAAATAAGGTGACCTATCCAGTTCCAACAGAAACTGATACGTTAAAGGCCCATGACCGGGAGGCGATTTTTTTTTCCGTACGAAACATTTACATGAAACTCCACTCGGGCCGTCTCGGAATTCAGGAGGTCAAAAGGTCAACAGATAAACGTCTACAGAACAACTTCTGAGAGAACGTCGCTGT